CCAGGATGGTCTCGATCTCCTGACCTCGTGATCCACCCGTCTCGGCCTCCCAAAGTGCTGGGATTACAGGCTTGAGCCACCGCGCCCGGCCTCCCGCAGTGCTTTTCAGCTGGAGTTCTCCTCTGAGTTACCTGAAGACTTTGTACAGTGCAGAAGCCCTGGGTCCCACCACAAATCTTCAAAATCAGAACCTCTGGGTTTAGGCAAAAGCAAATGTATATTTAAAAAAACAACAACAAAAAAAAGAAAAGCAAAACTCTGACATCTCTGCTTCCTTTGCTGCTAAATCTCTCTCCCTCTTCTCTCTCGGGTTTTTCTCCAGTCATCTGGCTGTTTCCCTGCCAGGAGATTTGCATCTGCTTTTTTCCTCCCTGCCCCATCTAGATTGGCATTTCCCCCAACTGTACCTTTCGGTCCACAGGGAGCTTCTGAGTGGCAGTGGCAGGAGCTCTAGGGTAGGAAAGAGGGAAGACCTGGTTTCTCAAGCAGTGAGGCCTGGAAGGGAATGTTCCAGAGAGGGCCACGTCAGTGGTGGTCCTGTGAGTGGGGGACCTTTGTGTGGCCTGCAGATCTGACCAAGCGCCATCCGTCCTCTCTTCCCTAGGCTCTGGAAGAGGATCTGAACCAGAAGAAGCGGGAGCAGGAGATGTTCTTCAAGCTGAGCGAGGAGGCGGAGTGCCCAAACCCCACCACCCCAAGCAAGGCCGCCAAGTTCTTCCCCTACAATTCTGCGGATGCTTCTTAACAACCGCCCGGGGCTCTGGCTGGCAGCTTGGTGGGCCCCAGGGCCTTCTCCTTCATTCTCTGTGAACATGTAACTCAGGACCCCTTTTCCCTCTTGCGTCTGTGCCAGCTCAAATCCAGCCCCTCGCCCTGTGCCACCCCAGCTGTGCCCGATAGACCCGCCCCAGTGTTCCTGACTTCTCGCTGGCCTGTGGAGGGTGAGGTGTAATGATGACCCTAATGTAGGTTCTCCTTGAGCCCCAGATCCCTTCAAGCTGTAAGGGATGGGGCTGCTGGTGGGCTCAGGGTCCAGGAGGAATGGGTGTTCCGTGGCCTTGAGTCCTCTCCTGTTTGCCAAAATACCAGTTTTGCTCTGTGTGGGAACAAAGCACTGCTGATGAAGTCTCCATGGGCTCATCCGGGCTGGAATTCTCTGCAGCCATTCCCTGCAGAGTCACTGAATCAAGTCCCTCATAGCCATTTCTGTTCCCAGTGGAGCCTGGCCTGCAGCTGGCTGCTCAGGAGATGGCCTCATTCTTCCTGTTCTCCCAGTTTGCTTTCCACTTAAGACAAGGCCATGTCTATGTGGGGGGCGGGGACCGGGGAGAGGGCGGCTGAAATGTTTCTTCTGCTTCTCCAGTGTTTCATGCCATCTCGTGTCCCCCTTCCTGCACATGTGTGTGAACGTACACACATGCATACATACACACAGGACTTGGTCTGCTGGCCTGGCCTCTTCTGCCCAGGTGGGTTGGAACACGTTTGCTGCCTGAGCCTGTGCCACTGAGCATGTTAGGTGGAGCAGTTGGTGTGGCGCATGCGGGGTGTTGGCACCGGAGGCACGGAGAAGCACAGGCTGTACTGCCAGGCTGCGATTCATGCTGGCCCCGCACAGGCTCCTGTGTTCAGGGACTAATTCCTCAGCACACAAGGCTTCCACAACCCAGTCTCTCCATAGCACTCTTGCCCACCCTGTCTGCAGGTGAAACAGGAGGGCTGTTGCCCTCTGCTCCGTCCCCCCGACTGTGTTCAGGAGTCCCACCTTGCATTTCAGACCTGGACTGGCAGTCTCTTGGACTTCTCTTCAGGAAGAAAAAGCGTCAGGGGGAAATGGAGTGCCCCTGCCCCAGGAACATGGCAGAAGCACAGGTTCTGTACCTCAGATGGACCCCTGGGACTTCAGGTTCTCAGTTGGCTTCCCCCAGATTCTGATCCTACGGCTGCAGAGTGTATATAACGAAATAAAAGCGAATGTTTGAACTAGTATGCGGCCTTACTTACAAAGAAAACCTTTTTTCACCCTGATTTCTAATTGTTTCATTGAAACGGCTGTAAAATGTATGATTTCTCCAGGAAGATATCTGCTTTTTTTTTAAAAAAAAAAAAAAACAAAACTGGTAATGATTTGGAGTAATCATATGGGCGTATTGAATCTGGGTAGTGTTTTGCTGGTGAGACTCCCTGGGAGGACTTTTTCCGCCTTTGCTCCTACAGGTTTAAGATTCTTTTTAAGCCAGTCATGGTGGCTAACCTGAGGTTAGGAGTTCGAGACTAGCCTGGCCAACATGGCGAAACCCTCTTTGCTAAAAATACAAAATTATTTTTGTATTTTTAGCCAGGTGTGGTGGTGCATGCCTGTAATCCCAGCTACTCAGGAGGCTGAGATAGGAGAACTGCTTGAACCCAGGAGGCAGAGGTTGCAGTAAGCCAAGATCATGCCACTGCACTCCAGCCTGGGTGACAGAGCGAGACTGTCTCAAAAAAAAAAAAAAAAAAAATTATTTGAGACAGGGTTTCTCATATTGTGCCCAATTGATCTCAAACTCGTGGCTCAACTGATTCCCCCCCTTCAACCTCAAGAGTAGCTGGGACGACAGACACGTGCCACTGCGCCCAGCTAGGTTAAGGTTCCGTATACTCTGTCTTTCTAAAGAAATTCCCTGGACATTTTCTCAACATTGGTTATAACTACATGCTTGGGAAGGGAGGGGCAGCCCCCCTTCAACAGGAAAAGGGGACTGCCCAAATCTTAACTATGCAGTAAAGATGCTCTTGGAACTAGCAATGGTTCTCAGGTTAGTGAGCATTTTACTTGCCTACTGCAGAATTTGACCCAGATAGGACATTTTTCAGGTCTCTCACGAATGAGACAAGCAAAACAATTGTCTCCTTTTAGTCTCTTTGGTGCACAGGTGCTGGGGAAACATGAACTAGCAGCAGTGTAACTGCAGAACATAGACCTAGTTCTACCAGACCAGGCCGGCATTGGAAACCGTCAGACAGGGCTGCTTTGGGCTTTGCTTACAGTGTTTCTGTTTGTAGCCTGGCGTGTGAGAAAGTGTTAGGTGAAATGCCAGTTTCATGGTTCAGGTGAAAGTCTGTGATCATTCCTCTTGTGGCTTGTCCTTCGCATCACCTCGCCCTTCAAGGAGTTGCTGAGTCCCTGCTCAGTGCCGCCTGAGCCCTCAGAGCGCCCCTGTGCTTTTCTGGATGGGGACTGGTGGGGTCACCTAGCCTCACAATGGAGCCACCGTGCAATGCCCATCTCCGAGAGGCCCACGCAGTATTCCTCGTGCCCCGTGTTAGTGTTTTCTGTATAAGGGACAGACAGAACTGGTTTTTTTTTCCTCTGTCTGGTTTTAGAGTAAATGTAACTAACTTATATTTTCCCTTTATGACAGATGAAATTATTTTTATGTAGTTTCCAGACTTTATACAAAATTTTTATAAAACGTTCTCTGGAAAGTTAACTACAAGAATGTAAATATGCTTCTAATAAAGTAACAAGGTTATCTGCCGTTCGGGTTGTTCTTTTGGATTGGGGTGGAAAGCGGGGCACACTTAGCCATATTCACCCGGCAAGAAAGGGCTTATCCTCCAAGTACACAGGGGCCTCCCAGGTCAACGGCGGCTCAGACGTCGGGTTTCTCTTTGGAAAGACATTATGCTTGGCTGAGGGAGAGTGTGTCATGGGGCATGTTCTCTACAGACATTTAATATCATTCTTCTTTAACAACAAACATTGACCCCAAAAAGTTTTCACCTGTTAATGTACTGAATCCTTTCAACAATCGGAGGAAGACACCATCATTCCCATTTTATGTATTTATTACTTTTTTAGAGACAGGGTCTCCCTGTCGCCCAGGCTGGAGTGCAGTGACGTGATCATGGTTCACTGTAACCTCAAACTCTTGGACTCAGACGCTCCTCCCACCTTAGCCTCCTGAGTAGCTAGGATTACAGGCCTGAGCCACCGTGCCTGGCTAACTTTTTGTGGAGACAGGCGACAGGGCGGGGGAGATCACTGTGTTGCCCAGGCTGGTCTGAAACTCCCAGCCTCAAGCAATCCTCCTGCTTCAGCCTCCCAAACAGCTGGAATTACAGGTGTGAGCCACCATACACCACACCAGGCTCATTCTCATTTTACAGATGAGGAAACGGGCACTAGGCAAAGGGAAGGGTCAAGCCAGTTCTCAAAACCCTGGTAAGTGATGCCTATGGGATTCAAACTTGGACCTTCTGCCGGAGGTGTTTCTGGCAGACCTCCTGTGTCTCACTCAACTGCACTTGAACGAATCAAGGGTCATACAGACACCTAGCCACTAGCCATCCCTGCCGTATTTAATCTGTCTGCCACGCCTCTGAAACACAATTCAGGCTTTCTTAACTTTGGGTCCATAGACTCTCCCCACAACGGATCCATATGTAGAATTCAGGGTGTCTTGGTATTTGGATGGCAAAAGATTTGGTCTTTAGTTTTACTATCCTCTAACTGAAATTAAGCATTTCCTTTCATTATGGATGTAGCCAACAAACTCTAGTAGTAGTAGCAGTAGCTGTGACTGTCACCAATAGAAATCCCAGATATTTCATAGCACCTTGCAGCTGTTGTAGAGATCTCAAAATATTTTTGTCACTTTGAAATTACAGTAGTTATTAGACCTATTACTAGATCTTGTTATTTAATGTGCATATGTGTATATACATCCATAGATCACATTACATGAGCATATATATCACATACATAGTATATACAGGTTTTCCAGTATTTTGTTACCTGTACTCCATATGATTGGTTTCATTTGTAATCTATGTGCTTTATATTGCACACTTGAAAATATCATTCTGAGAAGCCACCAGGCGCAGTGGCTCAAGCCTGTAATCCTAGCACTTTGGGAGGCCGAGTCCGGCAGATCACTTGAGGTCAGGAGTTTGAGAACAGCCTGGCTGACATGGTGAAACCCCGTCTCTACTAAAAATACAAAAATTTGCCAGGCATGGTGGTGCACCTGTATTCCCAGCTACTTGGGAGGCTGAGGCACAAGAATCGCTTGAACCCGGGAGGCAGAGGTTGCAGTGAGCCAAGATAGTGCCACTGCACTCAAGCCTGGGCGACAGAGCAAGACTTGTCTCAAAAAATATATGTTATTCTGAGAAGAGATTTATATTCTTTGTGGAATGCCAAAGGAGTCCATGGCACAAAAAACGATTTAGAACCCCTGTTTCTCCAGCCTTGAGTTGTCTCTGTCCTAGAAACCTTCTGACCAGCAGGGGGCAGGCCGCAGCCAGAAGGTCAGTGTGGAGTTCACATTGATTACTGTCTGGGGGATGCAAAGAAATAAGCAGCCGGCCTGCCTGCCATTAAGGGCTAGAAAAATGACTGGGGTTCTTGTGAAAAATAATTCATGAAACTGACAAAACAACAGTGCATTAGGGGGTTCATGGGACTTGGGAAATGAGATCATTCCACATTCATTGACACCTCTTAAGCACCATGTGCTAGAGATGCCAAGATGAGTAAGACACTGCCACTGTCTCCTTGTCTTTGTGGGGAAACAGACCTGGAAAAGCAGAGTGTAAGTTCAGACTGACGTTGCCTGGGAGAATTAGGGAAGACTTCCCAGAGAAGGTGACTCTGAGTCTTGGAAGACAAACTAGTATGTGCCAGAACCCGTGCATTCCGGGCCTGGGATATTGTTTAGGGTAAATGCTTTACGGGTCATGAGGCTGAAGAGATGGACAGGTCCAGACTAACATGCCGGGCTAAAACACCTCTATCTATCCCAAGGGCAGTCAGAAGAAGGGGAGTTCACTCAGGGGAAGGAGAGTTGAAATCATGGCCTTATCAATTCAAGAGATGAGCTGAAAAGGACTGAGATTCTATTGAAAGAGTTTTTTGGCCCACAGAGGTTGGAGGCTTTCAGAAGGAAAGGGAAGACTACAGGCTCCATGAGGGCAGGAAGTAAGATTTTATTTTTTTAGATGGAATCAAGCTCTGTTGCTCAGGCTGGAGTGCAGTAGCATGATCTTGGCTCACTACAACCTCCACCTCTCGGGTTCAAGCGATTCTCCTGCCTCAGCCTCCTGAGTAGCTGGGATTACAGGTATACACTACCATGCCCAACTAATTTTTGTATTTTTAGTAGATACAGGGTTTCACCATGTTGGTCAGGCTGGTCTCGAACTCCTGACCTCATGTGATCCACCTGCCTCAGCCTCCCAAACAGCTGGAATTACAGGTGTGAGCCAC